ATATTCAAAGGAAGTGCGGCAATCAAGAGCCCACCTGGAGAACAAAGGAAGAGAGTCAAATGTTGGAAATCAGGAGAACAAAGGGAAGGCAACAGTGGTCAAAGGAAGACGGTTCAAGTTTGGTAATCAGGCTCCCGCCCAGAGAAAAAGGGAAAGCATCTCATATTACAATTCAAGTCAGCAACAAAGGAATTTCACCTGGAGAGTACGAGTCAACAAAGCAATAGGAACTGCAACATCAAGTTTGAAGATATAGATATGATTCTTGTAATGCATAGATCATAATTAGTCTAGCTTCTTTTATTTTGTCTTGGTGTAATAAGGAGTTCAGTAAGCAGTAGCAGCAGCAACAACAGTGAAATCACAGCTTCATGGTAGTCCTAGCTACCGAAACTTCCCGAACTACACTAACCTGATTCCTTTATAGCCAAGGATATATAGGCAACCTCAGAAGCAGGGTGCGGTCAAATCTTTCAAAAAATGCTTCCCGCGGAGTATTCAAATGGGCAAAAATCGCTCGTATCCGCTCACTTTATCTTTGCACGAAAACTCTTCGTGTTTCCGGGCAAAGAGGGGCAGCTGTGAGTACGTGATTTTTTCCCCATGTGAATCACTCCCATAAATTCAAAATAAATTTTTCCCATTATTTGCAATTTCGTAGATTGTTGGTAGTATTTTGTTAATTGTTTGCATTTGTCTGTGCATGTTTAATTTTATTTAATTCATGAAAATACAAAAATACATTGAATTTGCATTTAGGATTTAATCTTACATTTTTAGGTTAATTAGCAATTTAGTTGTCTGGTAAAAATAATTAAAATCACAAAAAGGACTCATTTTGCATTTTTAACTTTTTAACTTTAAATTTTGTACTTTTTTTATTTTGGAAATTAATTAGTTGTTGTAAATATTATTTTGAGTAATTAATCTAATTTGGCGGGATAATTTGGTTTAGGATTTTAATTTAGGTTTTATTTATAATTTTGAAAAGAAAAGAAAATTTGAAATTAAAAAAAAAAAGCAAAAGGTTTTAAAACAAGAGAATTTTAATTTTGGGCTAGTTAATTGAATTTCCCTCAGGCCCAAACATTTTTCCCCTGAAACTCATCCAAACCCGCTCAAATTAGGCCCAAGTCCAGTCCCTCCAACCCGTCTGTGTGGTCGTTTAACCAAACGACGTCGTCCCCCTCTCAGGATCCCAGTCGTTGATCTCCATTGATCTAACGATTGGGAACTATTCTTCTTTAATTATAAAACGGTCGGAACCTATGCTACCCCCCCCCCCCCCCCC